CTGACGGCCCTCAACCGCATCATTCCCGTCTCCTTCAAGATTGTCCTTGTCCTCAAGGAAAAAATCCGAAAATTGAGTTTGCATATCGTGTAAACTTTCCCAAGTCGATTCCTCTTCCGGAAGTTGGTCCCATTCGATCAAGACTTCCCAACGGAAGTGACCAGCTCTTTTTACCCTCCTATAATCCACTGCTCGTATTAGACGTATGATCATAGTGCCTTCGGAGTTCACTGTCGACAGCCTCGGTTGAGCTCCTTGATTTTTCCCCAAGCTTCTTTTTAGTTGAGAAACATGAAGCATCGGATGAATTTGAGCTTCGGCCGGTAGATCAAGTCGATAGGCAACTTCCCCTACGCGTTCCACAATTTGGTATGGGCCATAGAAACGACTTCCCAACTTGAATAGAGTCTCTTGAGAGATTGTGTGCTGGCGATAAGGTCTAAGCTTCAAGTAAACCCAATCGCCCGGTTCGAATCGTTTCTCTCTTCTTCCTTTATCATAGTACTCTTTCATTCGATTGATTGACCCGTACAAGTTTCCTTTGAGCTCCCGAATCATAAGATCTCGTTCCATGAGCTCACGATCCACCTCATCATTCGGTGATTTTCCCATCGGATAACTCACCAGTAGGGGTGCCTTCCGTCCATAAACCAACTCGAAAGGGGTGAATTTGGTTGATGCATGGTATGTTGTATTATACCAAAATTCGGCCCATGGTAGAAATCCTTCCCATCTTCTCGGAAATTCATGAACATAGCATCGGAGATATTGTTCGAGAATGCGATTGGTTACCTCAGTTTGCCCGTCCGTTTGAGGATGATATGCTGAGCTCATAGCCAACTCGGTACCCTGCATTTTGAAAAACTCCTTCCAAAAACTACTCATGAATATTCGATCCCTTTCCGATACAATGGACCGGGGCATCCCATGCAACTTCATCACATACTCAGTAAATAACTTAGCTATGGATTTAGCCGTATACGGATGAGTAATAGGAATGAAATGTGCATTGGTAAGACGGTCCACGACCACCATGATCCCGTTGAACCCATTGGACATTGGAAGTCCTTCGATGAAGTCCATTGTTATGTCCTCCCAGATTCTTTCGGGTATCGGTAAAGGTTGTAAGTGCCCTCCCGATTTTCTGGAATCTGACTTCACCCTTTGGCAAACGTCACACGTTGTTATGAACTCCCGAACGTCATTCTTTGCCCCTGGCCAATAAAAGGTATTGGATAGCCTTGCCCATGTCCCCCAATCTTGGCTTCATGGAAATATTGTACCAGATCATGTCTCAAGTGATCGGTTTCCGGTACATACACCCGACCTTTGTATAGTAACAAGCCGCCATAAACATCATAATCTTGGACCTCCTCCTCTTGAGCTTCCATTTTCCTACGAACCTCATTACAAAAGGCATCTTGAGCATTTGCCTCTCGTAGTTGATCCCATATAGCCCATGTTGGCCCCGAGATGGCTTGAAGTTCCGCCACGTCCGTCCGACGAGATAATGCATCCGCCACTGCATTTTGTCGACCCAGCCTATAACAAATCTCAAAGTCGAACCCCATGAGTTTTGACACAAATTTTTGTTGCTCCGGTGTCACTATTCGTTGCTCCAACAAATGCTTTAGAGGTTGTTGGTCCGTCACAATTCGAAAATGTCGACCCAAAAGATAAGGCCTCCAAACCCGGACCGCTTCTACCACAGCCAGCAACTCTTTCACGTAGACCGACCATCCCACTCGTACACCCTCCCAAGGCTTTACTCATATAAGTAATAGGTCGATCTTCTTGCGTAAGAACGGCTCCAATTCCCACATCACTAGCGTCCGTATGCACTTCAAACATCACCTCAAAGTTAGGCATAGCTAAAACCGGGGTCGTTGACATAGCCCCCTTGAGTTTTTCGAATGCCTCCTCACTACTAGCCGACCATTTGAACCCTCATTTTTTCGTCATCTCCGTCAATGGCTTAGCAATCGATCCAAAGTCCTTGACAAATTTTCGATAATATCCGGTCAGCCCCAAAAACCCCCGAAGTTCCTTCAAATTCTTTGGTTTAGGCCAATCAAGCATCGCCTCAATTTTCTTGGAATCCACTTTAACTCCTTCAAAAGATATGATGTGGCCCAAATATTCCACCGATTCTTGGCCAAAAGAACACTTCGAAGACTTTATCTGAAAATCATTCTCCTTCAAAATATTCAATACCAATTTCAAATGCATCACATGATCATCCCAGTTCTTCGAATACACCAATATATCATCGAAGAACACCAACACAAATTTTCGCAAGTACTCTTGAAATATCGAATTCATAGCAAATTGAAAGGTTGATGGCGCATTACATAAACCGAAAGGCATTACCAAATATTCATAGTGACCTTGATGAGTCCAAAATGTCGTCTTGTGAATGTCCTCTTCTGCCACCCGTATTTGATGGTAACCCGCTCGCAAATCCAATTTGGAAAAATAACGGGATCCCGCCAACTCGTCCAACATGTCATCAATGCTTGGGATTGGGAAACGATCCTTTATGGTAGCCGCATTGAGAGCCCGGTAATCCGTACAAAATCTTCACGTCCCATCCTTTTTCTTGGCGAGAAGTACCGGTGAAGAAAAAGGACTCGTACTATGCCGGATTAATCCGGACTCAAGCATTTCACGAACTTGCTTCTCAATCTCGGTTTTCTGAAAATGGGCATACCTATAAGGATGTACATGTACAGCTTTGGTTTCATCCAACAAGGGAATGTGATGATCGAACTCTCTTCGTGGTGGTAGATTTTTTGGATCAGCTTTCACTTCTTCGAATTGTTGAAGCAACTCGTCAATCTCCTTTTGCTGAAAGTGTTCCTCATCAACACCCTTCAATTTATCGACTCTAATGGCAAAGATTTGACTACCTTGCCTCCACAATTTCTCCAGACTTTGAGCACTCACCTCCTTCGTTCCCTCCTTTCCTCCGGTTGATAATTTAACCATGCCATCACCCCAGCGAAATTTCATTGTTCCCACTCTATAATCCATAGTAACCGGACCCAATCCTTCCAACCATTGAACCCCCAAAACCACGTCCGGACCTACCAAAGGTAGTGCATACAAGTCGGCCTTTAAGGTGACCCCTTGCATTTTTATCGGCACACCCCGGTAAAACTCCGAGAATTTCAATCTCTCACCATTAGCCACCCTCACCGCAAACGGCTCAACCTTTGTGACCTGTAAATTTAACTTATCAGACAATGATGAATTAATGAAATTATGAGACGAACCATTGTCGACTAGCACAATTACACGTCGATCGCGAACCCAAGCTGGCATCTTCATCGTCTTGGGTCCTTGAGTTCCCGCCATTGCATGGACCGATATCTCCGGGTCCTCCTCGTGAAGATCGATTACACTTTTCACTTCATCCCCCACTACTTCATCTTCTTCGGACTCAACACATTCAATGAAAAACGATCGCCTTTCCTTGCACCGATGACCGGGTGTGAATTTCTCGTCACAATTAAAGCACAAACCTTTCTCTCTCCTTCTTTGCATCTCTTCCCAAGAAAAACGCTTAACCCCCGGTGAAAGGTCTTTTCCATTACCGGTTGATGTATTGGATCCCGTTCTTTGAACATTAGTAGGGAAAGTCATCGGTCGCCTCACTTCCGGTCGATTGGCTCTCCGTAGTGCCGTCAAGTGGTCGTCACGCATCCTAGCGGCCTCCATGGCGGCACGCATGGTTCTTGGTTTGTCCAACCTCACCTCAGCTGCCAATTCGGTTTTCAACCCACCAATGAATGTACCGACAAGTGCTCCCTCCGGCCAATCGCGAACTCGACTTGCAATTCTCTCGAATTCCTTTTGGTATTCCCTTAAACTTCCCGTTTGCTTGATATGTGATAGAGCTTCATTATAGTTGTGATAATCCGACACACCAAAGCGAATAATCATCTCTTTTTCGAAGTTTTTCCAACGAATCCGCTTATCCTCTTTTTTGTATACCCTCGAAAGCCATTGCCACCACACATTTGCTTCTCCGTCAAGATAATAAGCGGCATATTTCACTCTTTCCGACATGGGTATCTCATTAATCTCAAAGTATTGAAAAGCACGATTTAACCATGAATCAGGATCCGTACCATTAAATGTCAGGAGTGTTAACTTAGGCCTTTCGACCCTTTGCCTTCCACGATGATTTGATCCCCTTGACGAACATCTTCATCCTCTGGAAATTCATTCCGGTTTTCGTGATCCTCCTCAGATTCGGCTGACCCTTCGGAAGATGATTCCGAATGGTTACCCCTCTTAGCTCGTCGTCCAACGGTTTGGAGCATCATCCTCTCGAGTCTTGCCATCGTTTGATTCGTAGACTGAATTTCTTCGCTCATTGCACGCATGCTCTCCTCCATATGATCCATCCTCTCTCGATTAGTTGCCATGATACACGATTAGTAACTCTCAATGAAAGCACCAATGTTACAAATTGTGTATCGAGTATCGACTTTTGTATCAAAATCCGGATTAAAGAACCCTTTTTTGACACGGATTGATGCTTGGAAACAAGCTTTGATTGAGTAACTTCATAAAATACTTGATAAACAACCGTACAATGTTCCTACCCTAAACTAAATATCTTACAACCTATGAAATGCAAAGAAAACTGTAAAAATAACTGTTCCCGCTGGAAGGTTAGCGGCGCTAAGGGGTTAGCGCCGCTAAGGGTCTCTTACTGGCCGCTAATCATCTTAGCGTGAAGCCTCTGTACCCGCTATCCTCCGACCTTAGCGCCGCTAAGGGTTAGCGGCGCTAACCTCTGTTAAGCTGCTATTTTTCTGCAGCTTCATTTTAGGTGGACGAGCCCGGTTCAGCTGACGGCCCTCATCCGAGCATCAAACTTTTAGAACACTCCAAAACCCTCAAAATTACTATCACAAATCGTGTCAGCTCCAAACTGATTTTCTCTCGAAATCTTCCGTACTGCTTCCTTTATCCAATTTTCTGCGCTAATGGAGGAATCGAGGCTGTCGCCATCCAGTCCGATTCGCATCTTCTCCAATTTCGCTCCCCTCAGCAACTGTGATTCTAATTCGACTTCTTCTCCTTCGAAGAGGAAAAAGCCTCTTAGCTTGTGGCCGGGGATGTACCATTCGCCGGTGACGATCGCACTGTGGGAGACGAGGTCCAATATCTTCGAGAGGCTTCTCGATCCCCCGCTCGATGCGCCGCCGCAGACCGAGTTGCTGACGAAGACCCCGTCACAGAGTAGAATGACCATTCTGTATAATTTCTCTACTGATTTCATACTGAGAGAGCAGTATAGGGATCCTTGGAATGAGGTCAGGATTGGGAAATTGCTCGAAGATCTCGATGCCCTTGCCGGCACCATTTCAGTCAAGGTATGTATGGATATAATGTATAATTTTCGTTTTCCAAATATTTGTTTTGTGGGCAATGTATTTTGTTTGGATATGATAGTGTATTTTCTTTCCATGTTCATATTTCTCGTGTCGTTGCCCTCCATGGTTGTTTATGTGCGTGATTTGCAATTGGAATTTGACTAGAGATTCTAAATTATTAAATATTTCCTGTTGTTGGAAGTAGTATATTTTTAGCTTAATCAGATTGGGAGTATCTTGACTAGATATGATAAGGACTTTAAAGATTGTAGCCATGGAACTTTTCTGACTTGCAGTTGACCTAGAAAATGGACCAACTTTAAGCTTGATAATATGGACTAAGAAATTTATGGAGTGATCGTGATAACAGGCGTTAGGGTGATTAAAACGTAAAAGTATTTCAACTTGCTGTCAATTGAAGATCTTTTGGGAGTAAGGCTCCCGAGAAAATGCTTAATTTTAACTTTTGTTCAAATGGAGCATGTAACATTAGCACAGGATAATTTTGATTTTGAGTTGTCCTATTAAGATAACATTGTCGTATACATATGCTTTTTTTCTTCTTTTATAATTTTTTGTTTTTTTGTCCTTTTTTATTAGCACTGTTCAGATGATGATAGCACAACAAGGCCTCTGTATCTGGTTACTGCTTCTGTTGACAAAATGGTGCTGAAAAAGCCCATCAATGTTGATGTTGATCTGCATGTATCTGGTGCTGTTACTTGGGTTGGCTACTCTTCTATAGAAATCCAGCTCGACGTGACTCAGTCTGGTACTGGTAGGTCTCTCTCTGTGGACCAATGCATCAATTGCCTGATGCTACTTGGATTTTATCGTTTAGCTTCACCCGGATTGGAGTAATAGCTTTCATGTATATTTCAACATGAATTACATACGCATGTTTGCACCACCAGATAAAACCTTGTTACAATAGTTTTGAGGGAGTTGGCTGTGTCTATTTGAAAGATCCTATAAGCTTATACATACCCTGTAAAATGCCTTTGCATATTATAAAATTTCGATTCTTGTTTCAAGAACGAGTTGTTGAAGTGTTTGGATAACAGAAGATACTAAGATAATTGATGACAGAAGGTGTTGGTAATTACAATTTTGTTATTGAAATATCCGAAATATAAAAGGAGGCTGTTGAAATAAGATTTTATTTTACTTTTTATTTGAAATTTGAAAGTTGATTTTGGTAGCTTACAGGGTGCTTTTAAGAAGTTTACCAAACAATATTGAAAAGCGTATTAGTTCTGAAACTTCTAGTGAGGTACTTTTACAGAATTTATAAACTCAGCTATTCATACTTAAAGCGCTCCAATTTGTATGGTTCAAACTTCCATTTTGAATTTCCATTACTCATTAACATCTGGTTTGATCTCTTGACATTCATGTAGAATTTCTATTCCTCTACATAAGTGTCTTCATTAATCACCATCAATGCTTTTATCTCATAATCTTTAGCTTTCACATTGAAGATGATTACAACTAATTAGAATGTGATAAATCAAAATGCTTCCTTGCTGAAGCTATTTATATCGTTAACCAAAACAAGAGCTTTCCTGTCCACAGATACAGATGAAGCTATGGATTCAGTTGCCCTAACAGCCACCTTCATTTTTGTGGCTCGTGACTATAAGACTGGCAAAGCTGCTCAGGTAAATCGGCTAACTCCAAAAACGGAACGGGAGAAATTGCTATATGAAGCAGCAGAAGCCAGGAATAAGTTGAGGAAAAGTAAGATTAGAGGCGACAAGAAGGAGTTCCAGAGCGGAGAAGAGGTGAACAGGCTAGAACCATTGCTGGCAGAGGGTCGAATTTTGTGTGACATGCCTGCTTTGGCAGATACAGACAGCATTCTCTTAAGAGACACAGGTCTCGAGAACTCACTGATTTGCCAACCTCAGCAGAGGAACATTCATGGACGGATATTTGGAGGGTTTCTGATGCACAGGGCATTTGAGCTGGCTTTCTCAACGACTTATGCCTTCGCTGGGATGATGCCGTCTTTTTTGGAAGTTGATCATGTCGATTTTCTGAGACCAGTGAGTTCTTTTTTACCGAATGCCATTTTCTTTTCAGTCTTGTGTTCTGTACTCTTTGTTTTGTTTGTTGCCGCAGTAAATCTACAATGAATCGATTTGATAAACTTGAATTTTCAAGTCTATTCATCTATACAGTACTCTTCTTTCAAATACATGCAGCTTTTTTTTAATGAAAGCGCAAAGCAATTGGAAAAAACTTCTTCAATTTTCTATTCATCTATTTGTTTTCATTCGCCTACAGATTAACGTGGTGCATTTTGTCAAGTTTTGTTATATCATTTTGTGTGATGATGTTATAAACCTGGCCATGAAGTTGATAATTTAGCTTATCATTGTGATGGTGATACATGCAGGTGGATGTTGGAGATTTCTTGCGACTCAAGTCATGTGTATTGTATACAGAAAGCGAGAATTCAGATCGGCCTCTGATCAATGTGGAAGTTGTTGCACATGTTACAAGGCCTGAACTTAGGTCAAGTGAGGTACGATCTAGCCGATGAGCTTCACTTGATGCTAACTCTTTCTTAATTATCATGTTACTATATTTAGACATACATAGGTGTTTATCTTCTTCATGAAAAAAAAAAAAAAAAACACTATTTTGTATTTATTTGAACTCCAACATGCTTAAGAGAGCCAAAGCTTGTTTAGGATATGGACAACTGATTATCATTTATTGGCTTCATTCAATTACTACCTATGGAACAATTAGCATGTACGTAATTGATAAAAGTTGAAAAAAGATTGAGTTAGCTTATTAATTGAGGTGACACACACACACAAAAGTTGATACCACACTTGAGAATGATGGTTAAAAGCTCGTTAGAGCTCATTAGCTAACTACACCTCAGCACATCATTTAAGTTTCTTAAACATAAAGTTCAGCTCTAACCCAACTACTCACTTAGTAAAAAGAACGAAATATATTTCAAAGTATCATTACTTGAGTTCGAATCGTGTTCAACTTAACTAAGGCTTTGTTCAAGTTTGACTCGGTTGATAACGAAACCAAGTTTAAACGCATTTCTTGAAGATCAATTAAAACTCAAGCAAGCTTGAACTGTGCATGCTTGGCTAGGGATGATTCATTTGCATTCCGGCTACTTTAATAAACCATTTATCAAATATATTTCAAAGTATCATTACTTGAGTTCGAATCGTGTTCAACTTAACTAAGGCTTTGTTCAAGTTTGACTCGGTTGATAACGAAACCAAGTTTAAACGCATTTCTTGAAGATCAATTAAAACTCAAGCAAGCTTGAACTGTGCATGCTTGGCTAGGGATGATTCATTTGCATTCCGGCTACTTTAATAAACCATTTATCAAGATCCAAATTTGTAACTGGCATAGAAGTAATAGTTGATGTTCACAATATTATCCCTACAGGGACTCCACCATGGGGTTCAGTTTTATTTTTTCGCTGCTTAAATGCCTATGATTTTATCCGTAAAAGATGATGTTTTTTACTTTCTCTCTTCATAGATGGTCCTCCATTTATCACCTTTTAAGGCACACTACATCTTTTTTCATCATCTTTTGCACTGAGTTTTTAACACACATATGAGCCAGCTTTGAAGTTAATCGGTCGTTTATTTCCATTTACTAGCTCAAGTAAAGAATGTAAAATGCCTAAAACCTGCAATAAAGATAAGTTGTTGACGTGTGTTGCAGGTGTCAAATAAGTTTTACTTCACATTCACTGTTCGACCTGAGGCAAAAGCAATGAATAATGGGCATAGGATCAGGAAGGTGGTCCCTGCAACCGAGGAAGAAGCACGTAGAATTATTGAGCGCATGGATGCCGATTCTTTGTAGTCATTTCACCACATCAACGAATGAAAAGAATGTTTTCATGCGACGTTACATAAAACAAGAATATGAGTGTGACATATATGTATGAATGACAGTATTTTTAAGAAATTCTTGTATCTGAACCGAATGGGAACTTGTCTTATGAAGTCCATCTCCCGGTTCTGGCTTCTGATTTGTATTCTAAATGATACGCAATTGCATTGATGTTGTAGAGGTGAGTTAGTTCTTATTCTATTTAAGGTTTTAAATACAAAAATTACTCCTGAAGTTCGACAAGATCACAGAATGTACCAATTAATGTTTGTATGCAAATAAAAAGTTTTAAGGAATCACTTTCCATATTTGATCTTATACATAACTAAGCCAAGTAACTACGTTATACTACTTCGTTCAATGTCAATACCATGATGAAGTTTACTTAATAATCCAGATGAATGGCAAGGAACAATAAATCAACACACATAAATATTAGTTAAAATAAACCTTATTTCCAACTACTCTTATCATGATCAACAAATTTTACATAGCAACCAACTAATGTAGTAAACCTCTGAAGCTCAATAATAATACTGGAAGATATAGATAGAGGGAAAGTAGCCTGGTTGAGAATTGGTTGCATGCTTAATATTTAAAATTACATCTCTAAAACAAAAAATGCTCTACACGAAAAATACAAGAATATCACACCCATCCCTGTGAGTTGAGTTTTTATTGCCTTGAAACACTTTTCTTGACATATACCTTTAAAACCTAAAGGTTACAAAACCTCTTACTTTCATTTACATTTTTAATAAATACAAAATTGTTACAACTGAACCTATAAAGTTGGGTTAACTGGCACAGGAAATTTATGGGCAGAACTAACCATCGTTTGTTCGTTTATCATCCCAACTTCTCTACACACCCGATCCAAAATCGCCACAAAGTCCCTGACCACCATGAAGATCCTGAAAGGATGAGCCTCTTCCCTGGCTGAGTCCCCATGGAAATACTCGGTTATCTCCTTCACCAAAGATAGAGCAACACTTTCCTGGGCTTGGATCCTTATAATTTCCTCCTCAGCCCTTCTCATGAACCCGTTCATAGATTTGGAGAACTCATTACCTCCCACTAAACCATCATTTAACCTCACGACCTCTTTTATATTACCGATACCTTTTGAGAGCTTCAAAACATCCCCACAGAGCACCTCAGCATCCATTGTGGCAGCTTTCTTCACGTTTGATAGCTCAGAACTTAATTTAGAAACAACTTGGAGGCCGAGCTTTCTGCATTTGGCCTCGTCGTTGGTGTTTTCTGTTGTGTTGCTGTTTGTGAGACGAGAACCTTCAGCTCGGATGATCTCCTGAACCACAAAGTGAAGGAGCGTTGTTTTCCCATCAGCTCCCTTGACGTCAGCAAGCTTTAGGAGGGTGTCAAGCTTGAAGGCGTGGGCATCCCCTCTGTTTGTGCCCACATTCATGCGGTTCCCAGTCTTCAGCACAGCTTCTAGAAGCTTCAGGAACATCCGGCTCGACCTTAGTTCTTCGCAAGCTCCCTGCAAGCAAAATTGATCTTCCTGATTGGCATCGTCGGAAGTCTAAAACAATTTTTTTTTTCTTTGCCCCAGAATACTGTTAGCTTTTTATTTTGACGAGTAGATATGGTTCAAACTCCAGTGGCCTAACTTTCAGTATTAAGGCTCTATGAAACACGACTTAGCCTATACTTAACACATTCACGGTCAGACAGGGAAGATGCTGTATTTGGTTGGTCTGATAGAGTTTATAAGCCTCGAGAACTGAAGACTTCTTTTGGTAGAGTGAAAAGAAAATGTTGACTCGATTATGGTCTGATGATGATAGCTCTGATACGCTATATAAGTCACAATTTGTTTGATTTTGTTGTTACTTAAAGTTTATGGTCTCGAGTAACATGTTATAAGAATCATCTAAAATGCTGGTATTTGTATGAAAATAGTACCTCCAGTGTTGCAAACGACTTTTTGAGGTAGTCAGCCTCGGATTCAAAATTCGTCACATATAGCATTGCTTCTACCCTTTTGAACGCGTAAGGTATATCGAGAACTGCCTTTAAAAATCTTTCAGCGGCCCCAAGCTTGGTCGGCGAAACATCTTCATATTCTTTCAGCTTTCTCTCTTCTTCCTTAGTTGGTGCCATCTTCAATAAACTCTCAAGAAGCTCAGGACCCAGAGTTTCTGTATTGCCTGAGTCAGGAGTACAACAAGATAAGGACTAAGTGTTGAGCAAACAATTAAAAAGGCAACAGGGAAGTGAAATAAAATCACAACATTGTGACACATTGTTTTACCGACATCTTCAATTCAATGAACCAGTTTCTCAAAGGGATACTGGGATAAGAGTGACTACATGGATTTTGTTACAACTACAGCATATATATCTGGCACTTGAAATTATATATGCCAATGAAATTATATATGACAAAAGGTATAATGCTTCAAAAATATGCTACACGTGTTCAACACTGAAGTGATGGAATGCATGCCTAATCAAAGTCATTACTCTGGTTGGGAAAACAAATAAGCCAGCAAACTAGTCATATGAAGTGATCATTGAAAGACAAACTTCAAACTTTCCACCATGAGGTGAAGAAAAACCCAGAAAAGATCAACAAGAAAGAGTGAAATAAAGCAAAAGAATCACTTTGTGCTACGTAGAAATGCACACCTTTATAAAGCAATGTCTCAAAATTTTGTGCATCTCAACAAATACAAGAACATCCATACATAGTTATGTTTGATTTTTTATGTTGCACAATACTGAACATGTAGTTAGATAGCTAAAACCAACCAAAAACACACCAAATGGCAATTACAGAAAGCTATAGATCTTCAATTTCCAGATTCTATACCTTCTAAGAGGCCTTCGCAAACTTCCTCTACGGTGACATTGAGCGCCTTCAACAGAATCGCAATATTCTGTGCCTTCTTGGTGTCAAGAACCCTATTACCATCGTCTCGACCAGTAGAGGTAAGAACCTGCCACTTATTTACTTCTTTCGGGGTCAAATTCGAGGTATTTGCGACAAATAGCGTCTCGATCATCTCCTCATTCAATCTGCACAGCAATCAACGAACAACACATAACAATCTAGACCAACAAACACAAAAAACCATGCAAGCCAATCATGAATGGGCCGTATCCATGTAATTAGTAAGGAAAAAAATATCCTACTTGAAAGAGCTGGATTTGAGCTGGTCCCACACCATCTCCCTATCGGAGCTCGCCCTCACTTTATCCCAATGCAATGGCTTCAGTTTCGGTTTTGGAGTGGTCCCGTCATGTTCGCTGTTAACTAGAGAAACTTCTTTCCCATCCTTCTTGACACTCTCCAAACCAACTGAGGGCAGCCCGAGAGCAGAAATCGATGAGGAACTCTCTAGAGCTATTGGTCTCAAGGGCGTTACCAGTGCAGGCGGCTCGGAAAATAACTTTTTCCCAGGCGGTGGGCATGGTGGCGGAGGTGGTGGTATCGGTGGCCATGTTGGAATAGCCGGGACAC